CAATTTTAGTGCACATGGCAAAAGCAGCAATATTTTATGTTGAGCCAGATGATGGCATGTTTGTGCAAGTGGGAGTGATGGTACCTGGGTGCCTCACGCCCGGTTGTTTGGTGAGTACGCCCGATACAGCCTGCCATCATACTGTGCTTCGTACTGCAGCTGGTACTGTTGAGGAGGCACAGTGGGGGCATGATGCCCCCCTAGCCCCCCATGCATGTCCGGCCCACCAACAGTGTTCAGGGGAAAGGATTCCACCCCTTGCTCTGTAATGCACAGCCACCATGTCACCCTTACTGGCCCACATCCAGCTACACAAAGCTTCTTGCACAATTACAAACATAAGACCCATCTCCTTAACTTTAAAAATAAACATTAACTTTTATACAAGTAGATATTCAGGATCATTGTGAAAACTGTTGAATTTTTTAACAGTTCACAGTGGCACATGTTACTTACATGTCAAACATACAAATGTCACTGTGCTCAAGAATCAGAAGCCAACAAGAATGTAAAAAAAAAAAAAATACACGGACACGCATACACATACACACACATAATGTACTAGTACTATATGATATTAAGCTTATAGCACACAAAAATGTGTTACTTGCTGCATAACAGTTTAATGAAAAGAATATTATTTTGGCATATTTATACTATACTTGTACGTACTTCTTTTGATCTTGATATGAACTAATATACAATTTAGTAATGTCAAAAATTAGTGTATTAATTACTTTATCAGTCTCCTTTCTCATTTATGTCCCTATATTAAACTGATGAAGCCCATGGTATGCAAAGCATCTCAAAGATACCAGATGTTGCACACATTTTGTTCATCAAAAATTAGAAGAGTCTGAGGGTGGTGGTGTGTGATTAGAAAGGTGTTGTAGATTTAACAAAAGTGAACAGTATTCACAATGTAAATCTTTAACCTCAGTCTATTAAAGTCTTATTAAATTATTTAGTACATCATAGCATATGTGAGCTGTTTCAGTCATTTGAAGTCACAACTATATACATGTACTTCAACCTCTTCATGCAGCTCCTATATCATTCAGTATGCGAGGAATACCTACTACGTTATAATATTAATGCATAAAAAATTCTCTATTCCCTCATTAGTAACACATCAATGTTACATAAATACAGCCTCTCCTCACTTAACGACAGAGTTCCATTCCTAAGACCACGTCATTAAATAAATTCGTCGATAAGTGAGGAACATACTAGTATAATGGTGGTGAGTTTGTGTCAACCATCTCTGATACTGTTCTAATGTCACCTTTGCACCATTTATAACATTTCTGGTATATTTTTAAATGCTTATACAGTAGTGTACTGTATATTGTAATATACAGAATAGAGGAAATCAGCTCTAATATACACTAATGTATGAATAATGGTCAGAGAGCCTGTCGTAAGTCTGAGGCATCAGTAAATGAGTACGTCGCTAAGTGAGGAGAGGCTGTATTGCAATACTGCCCCTGATATACTGTATATTTAAAATACTTTACAGAAAAAATAATCATCCCCCAAAAAAAGTCCATCTAAAGCAATTATACAAGTCCAGTATAAAGTTTAGGCCTACTGTTACTACTACACTGAATAATCTATTATAAATAATACAGTACTGTACAAGTTACTGTACTTGAAGACAGTTCACATTCTTGGTTCTGGGGATCAATGCTCATATGGCCTGGTTTCAGGCCAGAGAGTTTAAACTGTAAGAGGTACTGTTACATGAATAAGAACTGTTAATTAAGAAACACGCAAGTAAAAATAAGTGTACACCTACAGTGCTTGTCACGGCATTATGCCGCCCCTCCCCCCCACACACATACCAAAACACAAACACATACCATAAATTATAATTTATATATATATATTTGCACACTTATTGAGGTTTTAATACTTGGTGCTGCGTCTTTTACGCTTAATCACGTCCCTCAGCTGTGTAGGAAGACTCGCACACAAATTCTTGAGGGTTTGGGGAGGTATATTATTCCATGCCTCATGTAGAACAGCCTCCAGTCGCAGGATGGAACTGACATCCTTGTCCAGTAAACTTCGTTTCACTATTGACCAAGGATCTCGATAGGGTTTAGGTCTGGGGAATTGCCTGGTCAGTCATTAAAGAACCTCGCTTCACAGTCCTTAAACCACTGAACTACAGATCTGGCAGTAGACACAGTGTGCCGTCCTGCATAAAAACCATAGCCCTACACTTGTCAAATGCCTCAGGTAAACTGTCACACAATAACTCCATGGGGAAGTGGAACAGATTTCTTCCTCTGTAAGCTATGCATGTTGTAAAAGGCGACCAAAATGCCAGGAACAAGGGGCTAGTAACCCCTTCTCCTGTATAAATTACTAAATTAAAAAAGAGAAACTCGTTTTTCTTTTTTGGGCCACCCTGCCTCAGTGGGATATGGCCGGTTTGTTGAAAGAAGAAAGAATTATACAGGTTCATATATTGGTTTTTGGGAAGCACAACGAGTTAACCAACACTCTGAGCACTGAAATACCCCCAAACCATAAGCGAGTCTGGATGTCTGGTGGTCCCACAGGTGTAGCAGGTCACTACCTCTGGGCTGGTACACGTCCCCCACGGTTACATGTGACGGTGAAAGTTGCTTCATCACTCCAAAGTACTTCAGACTTCTGTTCAGGATTCCAGTGAAGATATTTCTTTGCATAATCCAGCCTATGTTTCTTCTGTGGCTTGGAAAGTATTGGTTTCTTAACCTGGCGGTGACAACTGTTGCCCAGTTCTGACACACGTCTGTTAACATTCTTACAGACACCTCTGAGAGAAGATGTGGGCTCTTTTCTTTCAATTCTCTAGCAGTTATCTTAGGTGTACTTCCTAAACTGCTTCTTTAACACAGTTAAGGTATGAACAGATGTCTTCTTCAAGGGGCCAGGCCAAGGTTTGGCAGACGGTAACTTGACACCGCCACCAGCCTTGAAACGTTGCGCCCAATTCCTCAATGAACACTCACACACACCAACACTCTCCACTATTTCTTTCGTCTGGTGGCCAGCTTTGTGAAGCCCTATGATTTGAGCTATAGTTTCAGGTGTTAAAGACTTTCTTTTACCCATAATCAAACATGGGACGGATGAGAGAGAAAAGTGCAACACTTCCTCTCACCATGGCAGCCATGTGAGCACCAAGGAGTCACTGTGGAGTGTGGGAGCAGGCCATGATGTCATGCTAACGGCTGCTACCCAGCATAATGCACTGACGAAAAGAGACCCTCCTGTATGGTAGGCCTTTGATTTTTGTTACAGCATTATGCTGGGGCACTCGCTTGGCATAAGGCCGTGACTAGCACTGTAATGTAAGAAAAAGTCTGTGAGATTTACCCATCTTCTTACATGGAGACAAAACACAGTAGTCCTGCCAATGCAAAACATTTTACAAGCTTCTGTTTTGAGCTCGTACTCTCGTACATCCTTTTTTTTTTTTTTCCTTCTATTTTGCATCTCTTATCACAGACTGCTGAATACTTTAGCTATTTTTTTAATGCACCAGCCATGTTCACAAAAGCAGGGTGACCTAAAAAGAAAAACTAAAGTTTTCTTTTTAAATTTAGTAATTTACACAGAAGGGGTTACTAGCCCCTTGCTCCCTTTAGCTACTTTTATCTAGTGCATTTTATGATTCACCTTTTTTTTCCATGGACCTATCAGATACATCCATTCCCAAATATAGTATTGAAATATCTTACATTCACTTCCCCCATACTTCCTCCAATTTGGCTTCCAATCTTCACTACACAGGCTACTGCGTTCATCACCTTGTTTCTCTTCTTTTCATGCTGTATGTCTCCAGCAGATGCTAGTGGTTTACAGTCACATTCCTAATCTGGTTAAGAGATATTTTCACCCATACAAGTAGTCATCAAGAACATTTTTCTGGTAAAGTAAGGCACAATGTTTTTAAGTTTCTTAAGATGGTAAACCTTATAATATGTGGGATACATTTATGAAAATCGGCAAGTAATGTAACATCAATGATTAAGTAACAACCACCAAGAAGTTCTCTGGGCACAAACAAAAACTATTTGTGCTCAACTGTAACTGGCCTTTCCTTGGTCCCAGAACAGAAATCAATTTTAAGCATCTGAATATTTGGCAAGTCGTTGAGTTAAATTTCGAATACTGGTTCCAAGGTCTTATAATGCCTGTACTGTACTTTTTTTTCGTGGCTTTCCACCACTTTATTAAACTATTCTTGTATATTTTTTTTAGGGGGAAGGGGGAGTGATGAACCAGGTCTCTTGTCATACAAGGCACTGAAAAGAAAACCAATTAACTCACCATAGAGCAAAACGTGGGTGGTGAGCAAAAAATGCATATTCTATACAGAAATATTCACCAGTCATTAAAATAAGACCAGTTTGATCAAAACTGTATGGTTGATTACTGAGATGTTGCAAAGGCTTGTAGGCGATTTTCACAAGAGTGAAAGTTCGTCACATTTCTTCTCATTGCTTCATACGCTATATAGTGCAAAATCAGCATATATTTTGTAATATTTTATTAAATTTTATTTCTCTGTGATACTGTCTTAGATCAACATACTTTTTTTATAATCTATCTTTGCTACCCCTCAGTTTTTTCTCTGGCATATTTGAATGTCATAAACTATTTGCATCTTGTAAATTATGTTCCCCACACCATACAACAAACAGATAAACAAATGCATAACATAATTCATTCTTAAGCAGTAGAAAAGTCATGAAACAAAGAAATCTTTTAATTACTACATCAACCTACTCAGAAAGCATTATCCTTGGGACAGCTACACACCCCCTTATTTTTTTTAATTTATGAAACATTCAGTATTACCTTATTTCCTCCTTTAACATCTTAGAATTTGGAATAGGAGGAAGCTCTTAAATAGTTTCATATAAGCCCATTTTTAGTGATGAGCTCCCTTCACAAGTAATCTCTCAAAACAGGGTTTAAAATAAGCATGAATAACTCACCTCCATCTAGGGAATCCTTGCGTGAACGAGGGAGTCTGTGAGGATTGAAGATATACTCATAGATGAGGCCAGCAGTCACCCCTCCCAACAGTGGAGCCACCCAGTACACCTGGAAATAATGTAATGTGTAGGCAAGCAAGTATTGTACAGTAATAAGTATTTCAAAAATATTTAAAATGAGCAATAAGAATAATTAATACTTTTTATACAACACTGTCACCATGTGATGAATGTAGATGAATGGTTCAGAGAACCGACATGTTGATAAATTAGACACATGTGCAACTCTTGGGTATCTTTATTGAGGAAACGTTTCGCCACACAGTGGCTTCATCAGTCCATACAAAGGAGAATCTTGAAGTACAGGAGGAGAATGAGGTAATCAGTCCCTCAACCTTGAGTCGATGTGGTCAGTCCATCAATCTTGAATAGAATACGGCATACGTGCGGAGAAGGAGCTTATAAACCGTTGGTAGGAGAGGTGCAGCAGTCATAGGTGGTGTCACATTTGTTCAATGTGGAAGTAGGTCGTGCCCAAGAATTAGGCAAGTGAAGAATTCCCAAGTATTAAGATCCCAAGAAGTTGCAGTGTCTGACAGGTTTGTAGTTGAATGGTTCAGAGAACCGACATGTTGATAAATTAGACGACATGTTGATAAATTAGACACATGGTTCTCTGAACCATTCATCTACAAACCTGTCAGACACTGCAACTTCTTGGGATCTTAATACTTGGGAATTCTTCACTTGCCTAATTCTTGGGCACGACCTACTTCCACATTGAACAAATGTGACACCACCTATGACTGCTGCACCTCTCCTACCAACGGTTTATAAGCTCCTTCTCCGCACGTATGCCGTATTCTATTCAAGATTGATGGACTGACCACATCGACTCAAGGTTGAGGGACTGATTACCTCATTCTCCTCCTGTACTTCAAGATTCTCCTTTGTATGGACTGATGAAGCCACTGTGTGGCAAAACGTTTCCTCAATAAAGATACCCAAGAGTTGCACATGTGTCTAATTTATCAACATGTGATGAATGGTTTAAAAAACTGACAAGTTGAAGATTGAGACACTTATGCAGGTAGATGTTTGTGACTTGAAAAAGCCCACTGTGTGGGCGAAATGTTGTCAATAAAGGATCACATTAAACTGCATGTGTGTTTATATTTCCATGCACGGAGTTTCTTGGGTTATCCTGGGTGACTAACCCTCCGGGTTAAAAATCTTAAAATCTTATTACATCTGTATGTTGTGACCTGCTAAAATTACAGTACAGTGGACCCCCGGTTAACGATATTTTTTCACTCCAGAAGTATGTTCAGGTGCCAGTACTGACCGAATTTGTTCCCATAAGAAATATTGTGAAGTAGATTAGTCCATTTCAGACCCCCAAACATACATGTACAAACGCACTTACATAAATACACTTACATAATTGGTCGCATTCGGAGGTAATCGTTATGCGGGGGTCCACTGTATTTATAATGCATTTCATGAGGAAATGGTATGGTGATACCGACAAGATGTGGAAAAAGACACTTATGTACAGTTCAGGACATTTATTAAAGGAAACGTTTTGCCACGAGTGGCTTCTTCAGTCCTAATACAGAGAAAACTAAGAAAACATTTATATATATAGTGGCAGGAGTCAGGTGAGGTGACGCGTGGGTAGAGGTGGTAGTAGTAGTAGTAGTAGTAGTAGTAGTAATGGAACTAAGGAGGTGAGGCAAGAGAGGGACCTGCTGGCATCAAGTAACACCAGTTCCCAGGATGGGTAATATCCTCTTGCTTAGTAATTTTGAAATACTGTAACTACCGGATTTTTGCTTTATATTGTTACTGACAGAAATTAGTGCAGCTTCAATGCATTTTCTCCGTCTTAAGTCGTCTTCTTTAATAACTAGTTTAGCTTCATTGAATTTCACGAGGTGTCCAACATCGTCTCTATGTTGAACACATGCGTTTTTGCGGTCATCATTTCTGCAAGCATTTTTGTGTTCTGCTATTCTAATGTCCAGAGTTCTGGCTGTTTCCCCTACATATACTTTGTCACACCCCCCACATGGTATAGTGTAAATTCCTGCACTTGTGCCAGAATCATGCTTGGGTTTTTGTATCAGGTTCCTAATAGTAGTTGAAGAGCTGGTAGATATTTTAGCCAGTTTTCTGTCAAACATGTTTGAAACATTAGTGGCAACGTTGCTGACCGGTAAAACGATGTAACTTGGAGGCTTTTCCTCAACACCATCAACACACATATGCAACAGTTAGACAACTTTATTCCGAAACGTTTCGCCTACACAGTAGGCTTCTTCAGTCGAATACACTTGTCAGACACTGCAACACATGGCATCTTGGTACAGAAAACACATTGGACAAGCTTTTCAAGTGAGAAGTGTTGGATCTGAGAGGGACATGACCTCTCAGTGGCCACATTCTCACTACTACTACTACTACTCTGCACCTCTCCTTCCGACAGTATTTAAGTCTCCGCACTGTCGCTTGATCTTCAGATAGTTCCTGACTATGGAACTGAACTTCTCCAGGCCGAAGGACTGACAACCTCAAATTCTACGACTTCAAGGGTGATGGACTGATTACATCGTCTTCACATCTCTACTGTTCCTGCCTACTTTCTGTATCCGACTGAAGAAGCCTACTGTGTAGGCGAAACGTTTCGGAATAAAGTTGTCTAACTGTTGCATATGTGTCTTGCCTAACAACCTGTCGGTATTGTATACCATTTTGATGTTCATCTTGTCAGACACTGCAACACATGGCATCTTGGTACAGAAAACACATTGGACAAGCTTTTCAAGTGAGAAGTGTTGGATCTGAGAGGGACAGGACCTCTCAGTGGCCACATTCTCACTACTACTACTACTACTCTGCACCTCTCCTTCCGACAGTATTTAAGTCTCCGCACTGTCGCTTGATCTTCAGATAGTTCCTGACTATGGAACTGAACTTCTCCAGGCCGAGGGACTGACAACCTCAAATTCTATGACTTCAAGGGTGATGGACTGATTACATCGTCTTCACATCTCTACTGTTCCTGCCTACTTTCTGTATTCGACTGAAGAAGCCTACTGTGTAGGCGAAACGTTTCGGAATAAAGTTGTCTAACTGTTGCATATGTGTCTTACCTAACAACCTGTCGGTATTGTATACCATTTTGATGTTCACCATCAACACTCTGGAACCTACTATTAAATTTACACTAGAGGAGGAGAAGGACAACCAATTACCTTTTCTCGACGTTCTCTTACACACAGGGGAAAATAAACTTTCTTTTAAAGTCTACCGGAAGCCTACCTACAAGAACGATCTTCTACATTTCTTCTCTCACCATGACACAAGAACTAAAAGAGGGGTAGTTATTGGCTTCTTTCTGAGAGCCTACAGAATTTCCAGTCCACAGTTCCTCGAAGAAGAATGTACATACATCACCAACTCTTTTAGTTCACTGCACTTTCCCCTACACTTCATACGTGACTGTAGGAAACGTGCGGCACGTATCCTCAGCAAGACCAACACCTATCAAATTGAAGAAAAGCCTCCAAGTTACATCATTTTACCGGTCAGCAATGTTGCCACTAATGTTTCAAACATGTTTGACAGAAAACTGGCTAAAATATCTACCAGCTCTTCAACTACTATTAGGAACCTGATACAAAAACCCAAGCATGATTCTGGCACAAGTGCAGGAATCTACACTATATACCATGTGGGGGGTATGACAAAGTATATGTAGGGGAAACAGCCAGAACTCTGGACATTAGAATAGCAGAACACAAAAATGCTTGCAGAAATGATGACCGCAAAAACGCATGTGTTCAACATAGAGACGATGTTGGACACCTCATGAAATTCAATGAAGCTAAACTAGTTATTAAAGACGACGACTTAAGACGGAGAAAATGCATTGAAGCTGCACTAATTTCTGTCAGTAACACTATAAAGCAAAAATCCGGTAGTTACAGTATTTCAAAATTACTAAGCAAAAGGATATTACCCATCCTGGGAACTGGTGTTACTTGATGCCAGCAGGTCCCTCTCTTGCCTCACCTCCTTAGTTCCATTACTACTACTACTACTACTACCACCTCTACCCACGCGTCACCTCACCTGACTCCTGCCACTATATATATAAATGTTTTCTTAGTTTTCTCTGTATTAGGACTGAAGAAGCCACTCGTGGCAAAACGTTTCCTTTAATGAATATCCTGAACTGTACATAAGTGTCTTTTTCCACAACAATGCATTTCATAACGGGCCTGGAAAGTACTTGCGGGCCTTGTCCGTGAGTGGAGTTATCTGGGCTTGTTTCTTGGGTAGCGTTGAAAGTTGGACTGAGCAAATATCCTATTAGTGGGATGGATTGTGAAAGACTTGCCTAGAATGGGCCAACAGGCCTGCTGCAGTGTTGCTCCTTTCTTATGTTCTTAAATTTGCACATTGCCATAACAACATACTGGATTGAGAGATATACCTGGAGGTTACCTGGAGGTTATTCCGGGGATCAACGCCCCCGCGGCCCGGTCCATGACCAGGCCTCCCGATGGATCAGGGCCTGATCAACTAGGCTGTTACTGCTGGCCGCACGCAGTCCAACGTACGAGCCACAGCCCGGCTGATCCGGCACTGACTTTAGGTATCTGTCCAGCTCTCTCTTGAAGGCAGCCAGGGGTTTATTGGCAATTCCCCTAATGCTTGATGGGAGGCTGTTGAACAGTTTTGGGCCCCGGACACTTATGGTGTTTTCTCTTAGTGTACCAATGGCGCCCCTACTTTTTATTGGGGGCATTTTGCATCGCCTGCCCAGTCTTTTACTTTCGTAGGGAGTGACTTCTGTGTGCAGATTTGGGACCATTCCTTCCAAAATAAACGCAGTGGAAAGCAGGCGTGCACCAGGGACAATAAGGAAACATTGTATTAACGTCCATGGCATAAATTATTCAACATATGCTTAGCAGGCATCAGAAACACTGCTGGGACAAGTGTCTTCAGTTGTTCCAAGAGGAAAATGGACAAGTATCTTCGCCAGGCTGTGATGGATACGTGGGTCAGCGGGCCCACAGGAACAATCTGGTTGCCTAG